GCAAGGTGGTGGGAAGTTTAGTCCCACCATGCTAGTGGAAGAGAAGTTGGAGTGGTTTATAAGGGTGGCTCTTCTACATGCTATTGGAGTTTGAGAAGAGAAGAGGCCCTCGCGCGCTCCTCCTCCGCCGTCCGCCACGCCACGACGCGCCGCGGGAATGAGCCGAGCTCACAGCTATGCGCTTATTTTTGCCAGTCACTAACGGAGAGGTTCTGACAGCAGGGCCAGGATCTGAGACGTCGGATCGTGGGCTGTCACGGACTCGGACGTGGGTCAAGCCCACGTCTCTCCACGCGGCTGCGTTTATATAAGTGTGTTGTTACCCCTAACCCTTGCCGTCACGAACAGATCACATCTGCTCACGCGCACGCCCACCGTCGTTCCTTTGCTGCTGCTGCCGCCGGTGACTCCATCCCGTCCGCCGCGTACACGGTCGACGGGAGAGCAGGTCTCCGAAACCACGCCCTTCTGGTTCCTGTATGGGGTGAGGGGCAAATAGGTTTTTGGGCAGCGATTACGCGACTGCTCGCTTCCGATCGTCTACTTCCTCTACGTCCGCGTCGCCTTCATCATCACCATGTCCACCGACGCCGACCGTGCCGCCACCGAGAAAGCTGAAGCCGACAAGAAGGCCGCCGAGGACGCCGCTGCTGCCACCAAAGCCGCGGCCTCTGCGTAGCCTACTGGAGGGTATAACTCGTTTATCCCGCTCCTGATTATTTTCATATTAGCAGTACTAGCAGTATGTGTAGATTTGTCTACTGTTTGCTTAGTACGTGCATGTTTAGATCAAAATCAGTACGTCATCAACTTAGTTAATGCCATGCTAGTGATTTATTCGTGGATTAATTTAATCGAGAAATTGCCTATTTACTCAACAACTTATACTTGAAACTTGTTTATGGCAATTAGCACGGACAAAACTAATTCATCCAGGTGCATATTAATTTTTTACTGCTGCAGAGAACTCGTGTATTACAATCCGCCCAAGCTAGAGAAGAAAAGTCTCGAGCGTTAAAAAAACACGCTCAAAACCGCGTTCAGCTTTCCAGGAAGAAGCAGAGTGCATATGCAGTGTTCGTACCTAGGGCGATTTGGAGACTATAGTTCTAGTGCTCCACCGGTAATCTCGATGAAATGCAGTGCTGCAAAGTGGGACCAAAATGCCCAGAAGATCCCCTGAAACCCCATGGAAAATGGATGGAAAAGGCACAGAAAAACACCCCGTCCTACGCCGCCAAGTCAAGTCTCCGCTCCCTGCCTACGCGGTTCGCTTTAGTTTCCCTGAATTTTGTTTTCGCGGACGGGAGCATCGCAGGGATTACCGCGTCCGATCCACGCGCGCGCGCGGGCGACGCAGCGCCTCCATCCTTCACACGCACCACTTCTTCCGCTAATGGCGGCTTGTGCTAGCTATATAGACGGCCTCCCGCCATCTCCTCTTCTTCATGTTCGCGCGTGCTAGCTGCTTTTTTTTTTCTTTCTTTTTTTTACCCACGCTGCAGCCTCTCATTCCATTGCCGTTTGCTTCAGAGGCATCAACCTGGTTCGTATCAGTAGCTGGTTACTTCTGTAAGTTCCTATGCATTTTGTAGCTCTTATGCTGGTTAATTGACGGCCTCTGCATTTTCTCGACGCAGGGGCATTATTGTATTAGACGGCCTGCCACTGCCAGCAATATAACAGAGTACAGAGATTGTATACATGATTGATCATGACAAGTTGCTTCTAGCACTGCATGATTTCTCTCGAGCAAGAGGATCGCCGAGCTCACGGCTGACGACCCTGCTATGGAAAACAGTTCGATAATCTGGAATTGGCCTTAGCAAGCGAATAACAGATCTAATAGCCAAACTTACATGGTGATTTGGGCTTTTAACTTTGTTGAGATTGTCCTTTTGTTTAAAATTCCAAATGGCACTCATGGCACTTCATCAATGGTAGTTGTGGCTTGAAAGAGGAGGAAGATGCTCCCAACCTAGTACCAATCATGCATGGTGGAGGGTGGGAGTAGAGGTCCAGGAAAGAAAAAGGAAATGGTTGCTAAAAAACATTTTCAGGCATTATGGGCTGCAAATTTTCTACAAACAGATATATACCGGTGGGAAGGATTCATGCCAATAACCAAAATCTGACACCTACACCATCCGTGCACTAATGTAGGACATTTGGGCAGTTTAAAACTTTAAATTAAATTGCCAAAACGTCATACATTGATGAACGGAGGTAGTAGTTCCATGTGCACTAACAAAAGTGTGCTCTGGTCCAAATATTACGTTTCAAATGCCATGACCTATATGTAGTCTCATAGCTCATGAACCAATGTTTGCACTTTTTTACGCTTAATTAAGTGTCATAACCAATATTAGTAAAAATGACATTTTCCTATAAACTTTTGTTGGTATACTAGTGGTGGACCTAGGACTTAAGTATTTGGGGTGCCAAACATCAATACATTGGTACTTCCTCCGTTCCACAATGTATTGCATATGGATATTTTTTGAAAAGTCAAACTTTATAAAGTTTGACCAAGTTTATAGAGAAAATATATTCATATAAAATACCAAATACATATCATTAGATAATCATATGACATATTTTCATATTGTATAAATTTGATACTATAGATATGCATAGTTTTCTCTATAAATTTGATCAAAGTTAGTAATGTTTGACTTTCCAGAATATATATATGCATTATATCATAGAACAAAGGACGTACAGAAGTTAGGGAAATTACACTACAGTAGGATACTTGGGGTTAAACATCATTGTAAATCCATCAGATAGTCTAAAAAGGAAGTACATTATTACAAAACCCTTAAATCGCCACTAGTTGGTACATAGTCTTGTGAAGTGAGCCATTTGACAGTATCCGATGCAAGGAGACGAATGAAGGGGAGAAGGAACCAGGGCAGAGGAAGAAAAAGGGAGGAGAAAATGGATGAAAAGAAAGAAGGATGAGTGAGAAATGAAGATTGCACGTCGAGGTAGTAACGACCATAGTCAAGAGGTTGATCAATGTCAAAGGGGTAATGAGCTGTCTGTTGGGCATAGCAGAGGACATGATTGGGGTGTAGCTTGGACCTTGTAAATTGTAATAAAATGCCATCCCATCACATGGGCTTTTCTAGATGGTTGACCGCATGCTTCCTTTGTTTCTTTTATGTCAACGGTCATGCATACCTCTAGGGGCTTCTAGGACAAGCCGAAGACTCTAGTTTCCAAGACACACCGTTCAACTCGTGGCAATAGGTGCCCTCACTCGCATGTAGGCTTAGAAGCAACAATTTTCCCATCTGGGGCGGCAACTACAGTTCATGGCGAGGTTTAGGCACGACGATGTTCGTTGTGTATATCCAGATTTGGAGGCCATATGGCTCATAGTGGTACTCTCCTCTGCAGTTGGGGCCACATCCGCTTTCCCTCGGTGTGGGACGGTGGTGGAGTCTAGTGAAAACTCCGCCAGATGCTTCTCATGCCTGCCGTCAGCGTCCATAAATGTCGTCCCTCTCTCCTCCCATGGAGGCAATGACGTGGTTCGACCTCTTTCCCCTTCATGTTAGAGGTGAAAAATCTTGGTTTGCTTTGTGGTTCGGGTGATGGCTAGGTTCGGTGTCGTGTCCTTGTTGGAGGCATTGGCCATAATTTTTTTTGTTGTCTTGGCTTCTTTGTGACTATGGTCGATGGCAAAATGAAGCTTTTATGTGATCGCGGAGATAAGTGGTGGCTGCCTAGCCCTTATTAGTCACCGGCGGTTGGTGGGCTCATAGGTTGAGCATGTGGGGCATGGTTGGCCCTCCCTTGATCTAAAGCTAGAGGACATGGGTCCTATCTAGTCTCTAAGGATTCTTCATTTTAATAAAGTCTTGTTGGATGTCAAGGTTGTCCCCTATTTGTGATGACCGAGGGTTGGTCCCACAGGTGGGCACCCTTGTTGTGATCACACATCGGGTGCGTAGGGATGCCCCACGAGTCGTGTCCGGTGCCTTCAACTAGTAGCGGAGTGATGTTGGGTTCATTGTTGGTGTGTCGCGCTTTCTTCTATTTGTATTGTTCCTTGATCCCTTTTCGTAAGGGCATCTCCAAAGGAGACCCTCAAAGCTCTGGCATATGTCTAGATTGTGGGGTCCGGACCATTTGTTTCGACTTTTGTCATCCAATTGGGACATCATCAGTCCACGAAGTGGTCTGGACGTTCGTTTCTGGCAAATCCGAGACAAACGCGAGGAAGTTATACCAGTGTCCGGATATCCACTTGACCAACAAAAAGCCATCACGTGGTCCTTGTCTCTTTTATCTCTCCGCGTCTCCTACCCTCTCTTTCTCCCATCCAGACAAATAAGAATTAATTTATGAAAAAGCGCTGCATGGCTCTCTCTCTCGCATCATGTCCGTGAACCATGTCCGGACATAAAAATAGACATAGATATACCGGATCCATTTGTGGGTTAGCTTTGGAGATTCCCTAAGGCGGTATCTTCAACAACACCTTCATGTATCATTCATCCGGTTGACTTTATTTAATTTAAAGTTGACCTGTGAAGTTTCTATGTAAAGTAACCCAGTGTCTACAAAGTCAAAATGACGAGTAAGAGAGAGAGAGATAAATGTCCTTGTCAATTAGTAGTATATTAAACCGAAAAGAAAAAGAAAGAATAAACTTGAGTGGAATCTTTTGGTGGAGCTAGCGCGTTGGTAATCTCCGTTGCCATGGCGATGGAGGGGGCGGAGGCAGCCGGGCCGGCCGTGCTCAAATCCCTCGCGGGGGCCACCCCGAGCAGTCCCCCACCCTCGCACGCAACGCGGTCGGGTCTCGCAGCCGAGCCCCCAGCGGGCCGCGGGCCCTCGATCGCTCCTCCTCTTCCCTCCCATTTTTCTATATAGAAGCAGCCGAAGTCTCCCAAACCCCCAGACCCACCCGCGCCATCGCCATTCCCCACTCGCTGCTGCCTACTGCACTGCCGCCCCGCCACACGGAACCGCCGCGGAAGCGCGTGATGGCGCAGAAGCGGCCGCTGGAGGCCGCCCCGCCGGAGCAGGAGGCGCCGCGGTCCCCGAGGAAGCGGCTGCGCCGGACGGTGCTCCTCATGATGTGGCTGTGAGTACCCTCCCCTGCCCAGCCTCCTTCTCTCGCTTCCTTCCTTGATTTGAACTCACCGGTTGCGCCTGCCCGCCGCAGGGAGAGGAGGAGGGCGAGGGCGGTCACCGTCGGCCAGATGGAGCACATGGTTAGCCAGGTGAGGCCGGTTCCCCCCTCTCCGCATTTCGATATTTTATTTCTGTCCTCCTTGCTGTGCGTTTGGTGCTGTGGGGAGCGGTAACTGAAAGTCTGGTGGGTTTTGAATTGTTTCGGTGCGACAGGCGCAACTGGATATGGCCAAACTGTTTATGCTTCTCATGGTGCTCGTCGCGCGGCTTGGCTCCATGGAGAGGCTTCTCCTCGACCTCCCCAACATAGTCCAGACATTGTTGGCGCAGCAGTTTGATGCTCTTCACAGGTAGGAGTACATAATATTTGTACTCCCTCCGTTCCTATTTGTCTTTCTAGAGATTTCAACAAGTGACTACATACGAAGCAAAATGAGTGAATCTACATTCTAAAATATGTCTATATACATCCGTATGTGGTAGTCCATTTGAATCTCTAAAAAGACAAATATTTAGGAACGGAGGGAGTAGTATTTTGCAAGCACATGTGTCTATGCCAGAATTGAGATGTCCGAATATAGGAAATGCCACATTTCATCAGAAAACTAAGGAGAGTAATAATTCAAGTCCTGGTTTGCTTTTCTGGGAACTGCCAATTTTATCCTCTGATAAGAACTAAACAGCCATCGCTATGCCTAATTGGCAAGATTGCTGTTGGCAGCATAACAGCTCATATTTTTGGAAACGAATACTTGATAAGCATAGTACTATTTCAGGTTCAGGTTATCAAGTTATATTCATGAGTCATGGATTTGTTCTTCCTAAATACTCCCTCCGTTCGGAATTACTTGTCGCGAAAATGGATGTATCTAGACGTATTTTAGTTCTAGTTACATCCATTTCCGAGACAAGTAATTCCGAACGGAGGGAGTATATGGGAATTGTCTCTATGAGTCTATTCATTGAGTATTCCACTTTGGAATGTTGTGGATGTGATGGATAAAATGCCTCCTTTGTTTAGTTAATTAATGTTATCTCTTGTTTTGTGTCCAACAGATCTGTGATGGTATCCATACAAGATACGATTCGATCGACTGTACAGACAGAGGTTAGAATCTGGATCTTTATCTATGTAATAAGTATATTTTGTTTATCTGTACCTGCACTCTATCCTAACTACTTTTGGCTATGTCATGCAATAGATACAAGGACGGCAAGCAGCTTCACTTCCTAATGGCATTAATGAACCTCCTAGGTATCTGCCATTTTATTTTTCTCGCCGTACATGTTCTTTGATTCATGCCATGATCCTTACTGTCAAACCAAGTATTTGCTTTCAACATAATCTGGGAAGTTTCCTCTTGTCACTGCCTCACTCTCATCTTATTTAAAAAAAATATAGGCAGATATCAGAAGGTTTTCCTGAAACTGGAGGCATCACTGGAGTCAAGCTGCGCTTTGTCGATGTTGACAGACCAATAGATACACTTTTCACTGGTTATCCAGTGCAGTGGCAGAATGGAGGAAACGCTAAGATAGCGATCTTTGAAAATGATAGGCAAATCATGCAGGGAGACCTTTCTAAATTGCAAATTGAGATTTTAGCAGTCCATGCTGATTTCTTTACGGAGCAAGGACAAGCGGACTTCACCAAGGAGGAATTGAACAAGCAGATATATATGCATAAAGGGAAAGAGTTAGTGTTGTCAACTGTTAATCTAACAAATGGCGAGTCCTCTCTTGGTTCCTTCGTTTTTCCAGAGAGCTCCCATGGGAAAAAGTTAAGATTAACAGCACGAGTGAAAAGGCAGGTTCTTACTACCAGAGTTCAGGAAGCAATCACTGATCCTTTTGTCGTCAAAGACCGCCGAAGTGAATGTGAGTATATTAACTATATTGCATTGGAAATTTAATACACTGTAATTTGCTCATTCGTGGTGGAACCAGGGAGGGCCTCCCTGTTCATCCATTTTATTTTATTTTTGCTCATTCAATGAAACTTTTATTGTTTTCCGTAGTTAGCTGAAGAACAAGCTCGTCCTTTAAGTGGCTGCCAGGCTAATTTAAGTTTAGAAAAATGTTAAACACATATCATATCTTCCATAAAATTTTATGGCCTTGTGCAGTGACATTATTTCATCTGCATTATTTGGGATTGGCAGGCACAATTTCATCTGAAACATTATATCATAAAAAACATTATTTCATCTGAAAATATGAAGTCTTAGCACTAGATGTTCTGCTTTTAAAAGGGAATGGCTTGTTCCGTCACAAATTTTCTGTAAATTAATATCTATAGGCATATATTATCCCAAATACACACTGACAGTCAAAACTGTATGACCTCCTAGGTGCTAGGCAGAGGCTAACCGCCTCGCCTAGCGGTACTTCGAATCTGACAAAACTATACTTAATACTGTGACTTGGATTTGGGATTGTACTTTTCTTTGGTCAGTACAGATCTTATTTAGAGTTGACTATTAGGTCGTAGATTAATACTAAGCATGGTAAATCGATTTATTGTTTACCATGTACATTAATCCTTTTCTCAATGCCATTATCATCAGATGCAATGGTAGCCAGAATGAAGCAATTGCATCTTAGCAATCTTATCTTAACACATCCTACAATTTTGTTTACTTTCAGTAAATAAAAAGAGTTATCCTCCGTCTAAAGAAGAAGCAGTACATTGTTTGGAGAAAATTTCTCTAAAGGGAAAACATTGTGCTATCCTTGTTGAGAAAAATATCACTACAGTGAAGCACTTGATGCGTCAGTACCACAGGGATGAATCTGTTCTCCAAAAGGTAAATATAGTCATAATTATACTTCTACAGTCTTCAGCATTTCAAATTACCTGCAATAGATATTAGTTATTAGTTAATCATTGTTGAAATAAGATATCCAGCATCTCTTAGGAGTTACGACTTTTTTGGATATGCACTGCTAAATGTATTAACATGCACTATAATATCTGGTAGCATTTCATTAACTGATAATATAACTCTCAATTTGTGGCAAATAGCTTATTGGCATGAAGAAAGGGGATTGGAATACCATGATTAAACATGCCAACACGTCTGTTCCTGGGGATGAGATCTATTCCTATTGGGTTCCAGAGGATAATTGTGAAATCTTATTCAATGATTTCTATGATCTTGTCGGTAAGATGACTGATAACTACGTTCCTTACAGTGTCAACAACGTCAATCAGTTTCCACAGGTATTAAATCTAATACTGTTCCACTTCTATCATAGTTAGCCAGTTGATACTCACTAAAATAATAGTGCTGGCAATTACCTTGAAAAATTCTGTTACAGCATAAAGTGAACAATTGGAAAAAGTCTGCGTATAAGAAGTTTGATGAGCGGGAGAGCTCAGGTGGTCTTACCCCTGATTACTTCATGAACGATGGCCGCCCTGTCCGTGCAATGCCTCTGAACAATGATGCAGGTCCTTCTGTACAAGCTAGACCAACATGGCAATATCCTAATGACATGGCTGGACAACATGGTGATTTTTAATATTTTGTTCCATCACTGATCTTTGTCGCGCTACATGTTTCTCTAAATTCAACTTATTGCAGAATTTGGTGATCGACGCCCATTGAATGGGTTCTCACGGGCCGCAGTCCTGTCAAACAATGATGCCGGTCCTTCAAACCAAGAAACACTACCGTTTTCACAGCCCACGTATGGACAGACTATGCATCAAGGTCAATATTAAACACCTGCATAATTTTGTATCACCCATCCTCCATACTGTAATTGCTGCTTCATTGCAAGAATTTTTATATTTTATGCCTTCTGAATTCAGATAGTTTTGGGGATCAACTTGCTGTAGGAACTCCTTACTATCTGGCCCAGGGAAATTTCATAAATGATCAGGGACAGGGATCATTTTCAGCAGAGCCAACTATTCCGTCCCACATTCCTGTACCAGTAAGTTATAAAGTTACCTATGGCACAATCAACAATTCCATCCCACAGTTTTTCATTGACAGTCTGAAATGTTTCCTGGATGGTAGGTTCCAGAGGATGACCCAATCACATTCACAGCTGCAAGTCTAACTGGCCAACAGAATGGACACTTGAGCTTCTCGACAACTGATGCTCCTGTTACTTCTTATCCTGTAGCAGGTGTGCTTGCTACACCCAGTTTTTCTAATTTATATGCAGTCTTCTAGATCAATAATTCTCAAATCACTTCTCCATTATGCATTGTTGGGTGCTGAAGGTATCGCTGGGACTTCCTCAGATGGAGTTAGTCTGGGAACCTCTTCAGTTAACAGTGTGCAGGCTGACATCTTCAGTGGGTTAAGTCCATTTGAAGTACGTTTTTAAATATATCATGGGAATCATTCTTAAGAACAGAACAAATATCTTCACAAACGATTTTATGGAAGTTTTTTTCCTTCCCTTTTCTATGTCATGATTACGTTTGTTCTTGCAGTCAGAGGAATTGCTAGAACTACAAACACATCTGACAGAGCAGGACTTCGTGCAAGCTAACATCGGTATGTGATACTATTTAAGTTACTTCTGTTGCAGTTACCTCTGTTGACAGTTAGGCTGCTACAGAAGTCCTTTCCAGTCAGATTCTTCCAGACTTCGAAACTAAGATGAGATGATAGCAAATTAGTGTTTATACCTACAGAATAACTAGACCTTGTATGCATAACTGATGAGTACCAAATTATTGAAATGCTGGCTCCTTCAAAGTTACAATTAGGGGTGAATCTAAGATCTTCCTTTTTGTTCCATGCCATGACACGGAGTGTTTCTTTCATTTCAGCAGAACTGCCGAATTCCGACAGCCAATTTTACGGTTATGAACATGATGGCGGCGACCGCTGATTAAACCACGAAGCAACTGCAACTGGCTCTCCTCTACCATAGTAAATTATTCAGTGTAACTAAACATTTGTTGTAGATATGAATAATTTGTAAACAACAACACATATTTTTTGCGACCCTGGGATATCGATCACACGGCGTTGTGGGCTGAGGCTCTTTGAGTGCTTCCTCAAGATCCCAGAAGGAGACACAATCTGTTTATGGCCTAACCTATGATAGGGTTAGATGTAACAGAGAATTGGGGATTTCAACAAGAACAGAGGTAGGACAAGAGAACTTGGGGAAGAAGAAGAAGAATAACATAGGGGATTGATTGAGATACTCGTTTCTTCTTCGATGAGCAATGAGTGACAATACAATACACGGCTATGGCTTATAATAACAGCGCCAACACACCCACTAACCAGTAGGGTCCACGCCCAATAACTCCAGACCGAGTCAACTGGTCTCTGCCTTCGCCTGTCTCTTTACCGGGCTTCGCACATGTTCAGTTTCGTCAGACATTGGTCGAACACCATCCGTTGCTTCCTCGACCCATTGATCGTAGTGCCATCTGGAGTGTGATACGATCTAAGTGTATGTTTTTTTAGGCAAACACGATCTAAGCGTATGGAGTGTTTCCATAAAAGCGCACAACGTGAGCTGCATGGGCCCGCCCATTTTGGTCATGGAGGTGCAGCAGGTCCAAGTCAAGATCATTTTCTCCCAAGTCAGAGGCGGCACGTGGACGAAGCTTGGGCTGGACGATGGATAGATTGACAAGAAGCGAATGAGCGTGCTGGGAAGGCGGTGGCATTTGGACCTTCGCTTGAGACTAATCCATCAATCCGGTCTGAAACCATAGTTTGCAGCAGTTTTCAACCCATAAGTTTGCACCCAACCCAAACCTATCCAATCCGTTATTGGCCACAACCCAAACTGAACCAAATTGTTTGTCTATCTAAATCCAGTAGAGACCAAACTAGTGAGACCAAATCAAAAACCAAACCAAAAACTAAGTTTTGATCCAAACTATTCCCAGGTTTAGATATTCGTTTCTTCTTCGATGAACAGTGACAATACACGGGTATGGCTTATAATAACAGCGCCAACACAACCACTGACCAGTAGGGTCCACGCCCAATAACTCCAGACCGAGTCAACTGGTCTCCCGCCTTCGCCTGTCTCTTTACCGGGCTTCGCACATGTTCAGTTTCATCAGACATTGGCCGAACACCATCCGCTGCTTCCTCGACCCATTGATCCTAGTGCCATCTGGAGTGTGATACGATCTAAGTGTATGTTTTTTTTGGGCAAACACGATCTAAGAGTATGCGAGTGTTTCCATAAAAACGCACAACGCGAGCTGCATGGGCCTGCCCATTTTGGCGAGCGTTCTTTGCAATACTATGTCCAACAGTTTCAATGGGTTATTTTAATTTCTCTTTCTTTTATCGTGGCCCTTCGGTTTTTCTCTACGCTTTCAAAAAATTGCGAACATTTTCTACAATTTTTTTGAATTAAAAAAAATTATGTTTTCAGAAATTTCCACATAAATTTTTTAACAGTTGTAAAAAAACTAGAACGAAAAAAATAAAAGGGAAAATTTCTTAAAAAGCTGAATATTTTAAAATTTTGGGAATATTATTTAAATATTGTAAAAATGTTAAGAAAAGGAAAAGAGAAAGAGAAACCCAAATGATAATACCCACACGCGTGGCATGTTTGCACATCACCCGCACACCTTGATCCACGTTGATTCTGTTTTGCACGAATCCAAAAGTAATCTGTTAGAATCTGAGTGCCACATGGGCATCATCGTGTATGTGGGCGTTGGAGAGTTCACCCACACGCCCCGCAGCACGCGGTTTGTCAGCTGCGCTGTGTGGGCGAACTAGTTTCTGCCCACAGCCACCACCTAGTCCACGCACGTGTGGGCGAACTGCTTTTCGCCCCCACGACACTCGTACATTGTTGGATGACAACTGCAGTTGTGTGTACGTGGCAACTAGGTAAATACATATGTCAACTATGATTCATTGCTAGACGGCAACTGCAGCTGCGCGTATGTGGCAACCAGATAAACACACATGGCAACTGTGATTAATCATACATGGCAACTATGGCTGGACCACACATGGCAACTAGGTAAACACACATGACAATTGTTGTTTGACCATATGTGACAAGTAGTTAATCACACACGGCAACTATGATTTGATTACACGCGGCAACTACCATAAATTAGACATGGCAACTATAGTTAACCAAAACAGAGAGAGTTGTCATGCTTTTACAACTACATTTGCCATTCAGGATAACTACATCTACAATCCCGGATGGAAATTAAATCGTCATCCCACGGGTACCTAACGTAGTTGTGCCAAGACGTGTGGGCATATTTGCTTCGTGCCACACGCGCGGGATGGTGAGTAATTGTTGAGCGTGTGGCACGAAGTAGCTGCGCCCACATGTGTGGATAATTCTCATGTTCGCCCGCACACAACCCATGTGGGTTGCCTCCTGCTCACGCTACATACAATGTGTGGACGAATGTCTAGCATGCCACATGCATGGGCGTTATTAGGACCCAAGAGAAAAAGGCTGGAAAAAAGAAAAAAAACAAACATGTAATAAATGAAAATGAAAGAAAACAGAAAAAGGTAACCAGTGAAAACGGGCAGAGAAAACAAGAGAAGAAAAAAAACCCAGAAGAAAAGCTTCCTAAAACCGAGAAAACCGCACCCAAACCCTCCCAAAACCGAAAATTGAGCTAACGCTAATTGGGTCAGCCCAGGAGCAATCGTCGTGTGTGAATTGTCTTTTTTATGAAACAAGGCAAAAGATTTACCATCTTCATTGATTAAGAAGAAGAGAATTTTTCGGTTAATTAACGGAAATCCGGACAAATACCGTTACAGAACGCCCACAGAAAAGGGCACATCAGCCGGCCTGGAACCCACAAGATCACGCACACCGTCGAGGCTGCCTGCAATGTTATCGTCATCACCTCTCCCCGAGCAGGCGACTTCGACTTCGCCGCTTATGACCCGTCAAGACCCCTTCGAATGAACAACGCCCAAGGACCTCATCGGCAATAGCCAAACAATCAGTCGAGACGTCGAGGACCGGCAACTCCGATTTTGTTGTTGCGCTTCGCATGAGAAAGTTGCAAGCCTCGCACCGACCTAGTCCAACGCAACCTCCGGAGAGCACCGTCCGCTGAAACCACCGTCATGGAGTCATTGTTGCCACAGGGGGCCCGCCAAAAACAGATTCGACTTCTCTGTCACAGTGAGAAACAAACATAGGCGCACCCAATGGCGAATCGGACCGTCGACAACAGAAGGACAAGCCATGACCCAGCTCGCACGCCACCATCGTCGTCGCCGCACAAGTCGCAACGCCAACCACTCGCATCATCGGCTGGGCACCTACCAACCGTGATCCCGTGCACGTCCAGCCCGAGGGAAGCGCGGAGAAGGATCACCTGTCTTCAAAGCAATGCCCCAAAGGAGGAAATGTCATAGAGACGACATCATTGCCCGACCTAGCCGGTTCTAGGCTTTCACCCGAAGAACCAGATCCAAGGATGAAGTGCGGTGACGAGAACTCCACAATGGCGCCTTAAACAAGGGAACGACGCCCCGCAAGCGCCGCCGCCACCGGCCGACGCAAGCCTTCGCTCGAAGCAACTCGAGAACCACCCATCCCACGCAGCCGGCCACGCCGACCCGCACATCGGCTGGCCCGTCCACCTCCTGCGCCTCGACAGCGTCATCAACACACAAGAGCCACCATAGATCCTTGTCTCCAGCCAACGCCGCGAGCCAGATCTGACCTAGCCCGGCCAGATAGGACAACCACCAGCAGCCACGCCGTTAGCGGAGGAGCCAACAGCCGCGCACCACCAATGCACCAGGGGCACACCCACCAGGGAGGGAACGTGCACTAGTAGAAAACCACCCATTAGTCCCGGTTCGTAAGGGCCTTTAGTCCCGGTTCATGAACCGGGACTAATGGGTCGTTACTAATACCTCCACCCATTAGTCCCGGTTCAAACCAGAACCGAGACCAATGTACCTCCACGTGGCCCTGTGCGCCCACCCCAGTCAGGGGGCCTTTGGTCCCGGTTGGTGGCTCCAACCGGGACCAAAAGTAATTTTTTTTTAAAAGTGGCTGCTTTAGGGGTTATTTTTAGGTTGTTATTATAGCTAGCTAATAGAGAGAAGTGTCCTCTCTTATATCTTCGTCCTTGGTTTATCAACGCTGCTGCTATGTTCATTGCACCCGCAGATATAAAATGCTCATGCATGCTTGCATCATACATCATCATATATATATATATAATAACAAGTCCTACTAATCATGCATCATCATATACAACTTCTACTCGTTATTAATAATAAGTCATACGATCATCATCCTCATAGTCATCGAACCCAACCCTACATAATTGTTCTTAGCACATGATCATCAGTATCAGGTAGGACCTAAACACCCTTAAGGTAAAATAGCATAAAACAATATAGACCCTGACTCTCCATTATGAAGAATGGCGATCATCCTGTCTCCAATTTTTGCCCTTCGCTGAATGTTGCTTCCAAGAAGCTCCTTACGACTGTCCATACATTTTTTCCATTCTTTGATTATCATGTCTCCACTTCTTTTAGAAACCCGGTATGGACAGTTGAGATTCATAGGACGACCTGGTTGTTTGTTCAAAACATGAAGGCTACCCTGTGTATACATCAGATGAGGCACACAATCATTTAGGATTATCTGTTGAAAAACATAGTAATAACTTCGTAGTTAGCAATGATATGATGTACTAGTTTTAGAAGTGTGCAAAAAGATGCACGAATGTTGTAATAGTAAAAAATCATACCAGGGTATCTCCATGGTAGTTACCGTAGTTCAACACGTGCACTAGTGGCACGTATTGACCATAATGTTGAGGAGTTCGATTGTAGACATTGTAATTCTCAAGATCAGTACAAAATCCGACCAGATGATTTTTC